ACTAACTTTTAAGCTCGCATAAGCTGCAGTATACTTTCCCCAAAGAGGAATCGTAAAAAAGCAAAACTTCTATACTTCCAAATCCCTGTTGCGTTATTGTCAACGAGCGAGTAGAATACATAGACTTACCTACAATTTCCTAATCCAGAACTCGATATCCTTTTGTAGCGTGACTTGCGTCAAACATCTTCGTGGAAGATTACTCTTAGGATTAAAATTTCATCTTTAGGAGTGCATTTTCTTAATTTCTTTTAGAATAAATTCGATCGAATACACAATTCTTTGTGCAATTTATATAAATTTTTAACATTAAATATCTTGGATGCTTATAAAACTTCTTTTCAAAGTAAATTTCTTTGAAAATAAATGCTTTTAAAAGTATCAAGAAGAACGTTCCGTTATATAGTCATTATTATCTTTAAAGCTTAATTCATTAAATATTATTTAATTTTCAAAGTTGTAAAAGTTCGTAATATGATATATACTTCGGCCTAAATTTCTGCGAAGAAGCGCTCCAACTTTGTCAAGAAATTATGTTCCGAAACTTTGTTCTTTACCAAATATTCTATATATCAGATAGTTATAAGAATAACGATGAATTATTTATTGCTAATATCGTAAAATAGTAACGGTTTGGATTCATCCTTTTTTTCTCATAAGAACAAACGAATAATAATAATATTCTGGGAAAGTCTTCTTCGCGCGACACTCGATGCTTTCTTTTTTCTTTCTACTTTAACCCCAACTTACATCCATGACCATCTTTCTTCCCAACAGCACTGCTGGCTGTAATTTGTGGAGGACAAGAACTTCCCAGAGAGGCATTGAACAACTTTTATAATGTTTTTTTGCACGTCGTAAACCGACGTGATCTTAACTTTTTCTCATATTATCGCTTTTCTAAAGGTTATATAGGTGCGCAAAAAGATAAGCAGAAATTATCCTTCTTGGGTCAATTTCGCTATTTATGACGTTATTTTATACAACAAAAGACAAAACTTGTTCATTAAACATATTTAATTGAAACAAGAAAAATAGAACATGTAAAGGATTATCAAACATTTTTAATAATCGTCTAGATAATCAATTAATTATTCGTGTAATTTGAGCCTTTTTTGACACAAGTAAAATTCACTCAAACATCCTTATTTGTGCTCAATTTTTATAAACATTTAAAGTTAAAAAATTATTCGTTAATGTAATTCTGGAAAGAGAGAGAAATTTTTAATTTTTCCACATCTTTAAAAGCATAGAATAGTAAAATAACTTGGGCTAGACAAAAACGAACGAGGTTGCAGACGAAGAGATTAAAAATATGACTACAGATAAAAGATTAAAGAGTTAAATACTTTGTATACAGTTTTGTTAAAAATTTTCGTAAAATCTAAATTGTATTTTATTTTAATTTCCCTGTGTATACACGTAGTGATTTTCCAGATGTTTTATCATTATATACACGAACATTTTCCAGTATTTTCGCCCGCAATTTTATTTAGAGGAAAACGCTATTGGCGACAAAAGGACTGCTACATCCTGCACCGGAGAAACGACGGCCAGGGGAAAAAGAAGGAAATCGATTAGCCCTAAACGTGGCCGCGCGACTTCGTCCTTCCTCCAATCTCCGAATCGAATCATGCGCCATGCTTGAACGAACTTACGGCACAGGCGATATAAAATAACGCCCGAAGGGGAAAAATGATCCTGCACCGCAGCCACAGCCGCGACAGCTAATTGCATTCGTTAAAGGGGCCCGCCCAGACCGCGTTAGTGCTTTCTTCGCCGAGCGGAGCACTCTCTTCCTCTCGGACCACTCGTCGCCCTTTGCTTCCTTTTTTCTTCCATCTTCAGACTACGTATTGCGCTCTCCGCCGGCCTTTTCCTCCGCCGCGCCGTTTGGCCACTCGTCGCAATTTGCGGGAGCCGGCGCAACGGCGAGAGAACTTCCTGAAGAGGTGTTACGAAAGTTTCGGATCAAATGAATGAAAAACGGTGGAGAAGAAGAGAAAACGGTTGGAGAACAGTGGTGGATTATCGCACAAGGGTATCAATTCGCAAGCTTCCTTTTAAAATTTCAAACTCAAAATACAAATTTCTATTTCATGAAAATTGATTAATCAAATATAAATATTAGAACGTCAAAAATATTAATATGTAACGTCAAAAAATGATGTTTAACATTTTTCAAAAGAGATCTTTTTGATGTGGTGCTTTGTCTGAAATTCTGCAGACTGCAGAGAATTTCTGACTAGATTTAATCCAGCATCGCTAGAAGAGAGAAGGGCGAATCGAAGGGGAGAATCGAGGGATCATACACAAGTATGGCACGTCGTGTGGGCGTTTTCGTTGCGTTTTATTGATCCGATACAGTCGTAAATGGTACAATCGGCAAATTCATCGGCGGTACAATCGATATAGTTATATGTATATATACATTTATGTACATGGCGCCAAAAGGCGTGCGCGCTCGCAGAAACGATACCCGGCGCAGAATAATGCTTCCGGATTATCGTTACATCGGAATATAACAGCGAGATCGAGCGCGAAGACCAAACGTCCTATGACTCCTGACCGAATCGAAAGATACAAAGTTGTAAAAAAGAACCGGCGGGGATATGAAAAGGGAAGGAAGAAATGACGGAGTAAGGGCAAAAGGAGCTGTGTCGATTGGGTCTCTAGAAGACTAGAAAACGTATACTCATTATTGTACACTAAAGCCGTGGCAGCATTGTTTTATACCTTATCTATCTATACGCTTTAACTCTCTGCGAACCAGGTGGGGTGTGACATACTCCAGCCAGATGAACGTCCATAACTTCTTAAAAAGTATACTGTGCGCAAGTTGCCGTTTCGTACAGCTGAAGAGTAGCATCGTTACCAGTCATACTAAATTAGTATATTTATGATGAAGTATAGCATGGAACATGAGACACCCCATATATAATCCATTTTAATTTTCCACCTGGTTTGCGGAAGGTTAATGGAACTTAACGCCTACAACGCGATTACACTTATACGTGTGTCGATATGGATAATGGGTGGATGATCGAGCGATCCGTCGATCGCTTCAAGCAGGACGAAGAATCTGTCCATGTCAGCGTGCTCTAATAACATGAGGTTTCGATTCTCCGTCCTGTAGGATAATTATCGGCCTTACCGTGGTCGATCTTCCCTCTCCTCATCGTCGATCGCGCCTCGTCAGCCTTCGATCTGAAACCCCACGCTTCGCACGGTCATTAACTGTCTGACAAATCCTGTTTCGATTTCATTCGGTTAGAAAAAATGCGTCTCATTATTTTCTGAAAAATTAAATCGTCTAACATCAGTTACACAAATATGTATTTTATTTATTTATCATAAAAGAAATATATTTTTCGAAATGATTCATAATATTTCCACTATTTTCCTTTAATTTCTATTAGAAAAATTATTTTACAATAAAAATCGTCATTAAATCATCACATACACATATGTTGAAATACAAAGATTTTCAGAAATTTTCTGCTTAATTTCGTAGCAAGTGAAACTCTGCTGTAATATAAAGAATCGTTGAAGGTGAATGCTGTATAACAGCAGGTGCTAAAAAAAGTTAATTACATTACACGATCGACAAAACTGCGGCAAATGCCGCCCGGTGGGACTGTGGTCATCGACTTTCTTTACTGACTATCCGGAGCACGCTACAGGAAAGGCTACTCGAGGCCCTTCTCGATGTTCTGTGTCCTTCTTCGCGCACTTCGGCTCTACTCTCCCCAGAGTAAGAAGTTACCGAGTACCAATGCCCCGTCATGGATATTGAGAAAGGTTGCTATCGAACGAGACTATTTCTCACTCATATATTTCTCTCTATCGAGCGGTGAATTTCGCAAGAGATTCCTCTCTATTCCTCGGCTCTCTCAACGCGATCTCTCGAACCAATCGATTGATCGTTTCTATTCGGACACAGTCTTCGACAAAGTTTGTCGTCGACGATACTTGGCTATTTGCTAATGGACGTCTCCCTGCTTCCGAGGACCGGTCGTTCCACCTTCGGTTAAGTGTCCGATAATTTCCCCCACGCCTCTTTCTGGATCACAGCATTGGCTATAGTGTGAACAGGAAACTCAAGGTAATTGACCGAAGGTCGGACGTACCGATCCTCAGAAGTGCGTTAAGTCTTCGTCGAGGTAATTATTCGAGAAACAAATTGAGGAAGCGTGTAAGAAAAAATATTTTCATTTCTCCGCTTTTAATATACAGTACGGTATAAATAGAAAATGGACTGATTGCCAGCGGAGGGAACTTTTATCTTAGCTTTCGTGGCTTCCTAATGGGAGACATTATTTATGGATCGCGTGACGTGTGCGCGAATTATGTCAGTCTCGTTAATTCTTCGGGATGAAGTAACTTTTCACTCTTCGAGTGATTTTACTTCTCTATTTCGAAACATGCGCTTCGATTGATATTATTGGTGATTCCATTTAATACGATTATCGTGTGGATGAAGTAGGAAAATACAAATCCTGATTTTCCAACTGAAATCTGAATTCTAAGTTTCAGTTTTCCAAACAAAGCGGATTCAAAAGGGTCCATGGTTAGCGCCTCCCTCGGAAACCTCGCCAAAGTTTCTGGACCTGTTGAATCGTTATTCCTTGTGGAGCCCGCTTATATTCAGACAAATAGCGCGAGGCGAATTTTGCCCGGATTAACATCCCCAGGGACCACGTATTTCTCAATTACAAATAAAAAACCATTCTTATTTATAGTATACCAAATTTAGAACACAAAATATGTGCCACAATTGCGAAATTGGAAAATACTTCCCACAAAATATTACTTCTAAATAAATATATAACTATTCTAAATAAATAAAATATTCAGACAAAATACGCAAAACGTATATTGCGTTTCTGAATCCCTAAGGAGATTAAACCGCTCTCATTTCGCTGCACAATTGCGGAAGGATTAAAGCGTCCTCATTAATATTATGATATCTCAGAGCACTTTCAAATGTTTTCGTGTATACGTTTTTTCCTAATGCTTTGTGCCAAGTAGATTCATAGAAAACGGACTACGATCCCTCTAAATTTATCTTCAAAAGATCTACCGATTAGTTAACGTCAACCGGGCTCTCCTCGATAATCTTCTCCAGCAATTGACCCGACTCAAAGTCTCTGCACCTGTCTGTGACGTACATCGTTGGGCCTAAAGGTGAGCCGATCTCCTGTGGCAGACCTTTCTTGAGGACGTTAAGGTACCCCTAGCTCTGAATCATATCGCTAATATACTCCTCGTGAAGTGCAAGGAGATGACGCGGCACGTCGAGAGCAGTATGAAGGGTTACGGTTACGCCGCGATTCAGACTGATCGCCGGATAAAAGACGCCATAGAGATCGCGGAAGGCGATACCGCCCTGCGGCTGGTCGTTGACGAAGAAGCGTAGCGTATGCGTGGTGTCCAGGTCGAGGAGGACACCGACAGTCGAACCCTGCTGAACGCCACCCTCCGTACGCTGTGCATGACCACCGCCGTGCATGAACCACGACCGCTGACGATCTATGTACATGCTCCAGCCTTTGTCGTCCTTACCTGTGAACAAAATGATTCTCAAGATTACAAGTGGGCTGCCTTCAGAGAATAGTCTAAAGCCGGCGGCACACGATGTTTATTTTCTTGCCGGATTGCTAGCTGGATTAAATTCTTGCCGCACCATATTGGTTGCTATGCTGGGCACTGTCGGCACCGCAGCCAATATGGTGGCAAGATTCTAATCCAGCTAGCAATCCAGTAGGAAAACAAACATCGTGGGTCGCTGGCTTAACTGGATTTTATCTCGAATTGCATGCCATATAAACGACAGTACTCGTACAATAAATAACGTGTAAAACTTGTTAAAAATAGTTAGAGATAGTGAAATTATTTGTAATGTTAAAAATATTTGAAATTTAATTAATCCTAATCGATATTTGCGCCAAAATTCCTTAACCGATATTCGCGAGTTCAGTATGCTTTGAATTAAATATATCGTTACTTAAAATTACATAATTGCACGACTTTGTTTCATTTTAAAAGTTAAAATCTGAGGAATAAGATTATATATAACTCTTAAAATTATATAAGATTATGAAAAAATATTTGTTATAAGCAATTTTTCATAAAGATAGTTAAAAGAAATGATCCACTGGATCCACTAGATCTTTCGAAAACTGATTAAAGCTATAATAATAGTAACAGCGGAAATGATATTTTAGATACTTGTATTAATGTATTTCTTTATTCGTTTAAAATAATTGGGACAGGTGAACGAATAGCTATTATTAAATGCATCGCGGAGAGTATTTCAAAAGAATCGTAAGAAAAAGAAGATGATACATGACACGATTGCAGACCCTATCCATAAATTTTCGCTGTGTTTACCAGGCAGCACACAATCGATTTCCGAATTTCATCAGTTCTAAGAGCATTGACCCGGTTTCCACACGTGTCCAAGGGTTAAAATACCCTCTTCTTCCAGTATGTTGCACAACCACGGTCGCGCACTTTGCGATCTCTCGGAATCTCTTGGCTGTCGTTTTCTCTCATCCGAGGCGATGTATAGAGACAAAAGCAAAGAGACAGAGACGAAAAGAGACAGAAAGATAGAGGGACAAAGGGAGAAAGAAATATGGTGAAAACACTACATACGTCTCTCGCCTCCGAATTTCCGAACAAACCAGGGATCTCCGGGGTGTACCGGGTGGCGCATGAATATTTCATCGAGACCGGATAAACCGCACGATATTTTCCGTAGAGGAGGACCTAGTAGAGATGGAGAACTTACCCAGCATCTGATCACGCGACACGTCGGCCCGAGCGATTCCAAAGGCCGGATCGGTGTCACTGTGGTATCGATCTATGGTCAGCTCCCAATAGTGTACGCCTCGCGAGAAGCCCACGCTCGAGAGGACCACGCGGTGTTCGTAACCCTCGCAGGATGCGCTCATCGCGTCCTCGGATATGGACACCTCCTGCGGTATGCCAGCTGCGCCGGTGGCCCACGAAAACCACGCCACTGCGAGAGACCAGAGGATACGGTTTGCTGTATAGCTTCGATTAATATTCCGCGGACTCGGATCCGCAAGCACGCTTAACGAACTACACGTTCAGGCACGAACGTTGGGTTATCGAGAGCCGGGGGTTATTGGGAATTCGATGTCGTAGCCGCACTCGATGTTAATAACGACGTGACGGGATTGTGGAATCTTAATATGAGAAGAGGAGAATGGGGGGATCTGATTTTCTGTGCGGCTAAATAATTTAAGAATTTGATATGGAAAGTCGACGTGAGCTGACTGCGGAAGTTCAATGCAAAAACGAAGGAATGTTTTATCTTTTGCGGCGTGTTAAATAATTTAAAACTTTGATATGGAATTTCTTACATAGCACGATTGTTGAATTGAAGTTTAATATTTAACTTCCACCTGATTATTATATAGTATATAAGTTACGATTTAAGAATTCAAAACAGAAATTTTTTTCTTAATAACACATTTGGAAAAATGTGAAGAGATGCAAATGAGAGAGATTTAACATAAAATTTAGTCATATGGAACATGAGCACCAAAAAGTTTTTAATTAGATTATAGACTATAAATAATATGATTTGCCGGATCATTGTATCTATTTGTCGTATTCTATATCTGTCATGTTAGTCGAAACACTGTTTAAAAATGTAAGACAAAACATTTAATTATATTGAATAATTAAGTATTTCCGTTCATGGAAAAAACAATTTAGTTAAAGTATTTGTAAATTTAAATACAGATTTGAAAATAACTTTGTTAAACTATCAAAATAATTACGTAGAAAGCTTAAATATTAATAATAATACTGCAAAAAGTTTTAACATTTTACACTAAAAATTTACTAAATCTTAATACTTATAGTATTTTTAAACTAATAATAATAATAAAGTGAAGATTTACTTGCAGTAAATAAAAATTTACTCGATAAAGAAAATTATAACTAAATCAAATTAATAGTTCTTGTGTTAAATAGATACATATTATTTATATTTAATAAATATTTATTAAAATTGAACATTTTTTTAACAATCAATTTGAGCGTCCTATATAATTATTTCGACAGTCTAAACAAAATTATTTTAATCGTATAGTAAAATTTGTGATAATAAAATGAAATTTTTGGAAGAAAAATTTCGTTTTCTTTCGTAACGCAAAGGTAAAAATGTCTCCTCAAAGTCATTTGTAATTGTCGCCCGCATTATTCCGCAAACGCCACACGGATGGGCATTCTATCGCGGCTATTTCTGTGCATCTACCGTCCATCTCATCGATCACACGATCGTGCCGCGGAAAAAAAATACGTGCGACCGGAAAATCGACGTCGCTTACGATCGTTCGTCTTCCACGCGACACCGACGCCGATTTTCCAACCGAGGCCTCTGCGCGTTTTGCCCAGGAAATCGTAAAGAAAAAAAGAAGAAAACTCTCACCCTCGGCGGTCTGAAGGCCGATCAGCTCCGAGTATTCGCCCTCACCGGCGCTGTTAAAGGCCCGCACCCTGGCGTTGTAGAGCGAGTTGAAGTGTAGCCCGTCTACCGTGCAAATCGTCTCGCGGCCACAGTACACCTCCTGCGAATCAGATTTCAAACAAGACACATCAATTTGCGGGTTGCAATTATAGCCGGATAACCTATCCTTACCTATTAGATAATAGAAAGAGAGAGAGAGAGAGAGAGAGAGAGAGAGAGAGAGAGAGAGAGTAATTTTCATGAAAATTATGATTGTAGTAGAAAGAACTTTTACATTTTAAAATCTTTTTCAGAAAATGCAAAAAATATTTGATAGTATGAAATTCTATAATAATATTTCATTACTACTTCTATATCTATCATAATAATTAAATTCTTTTTACGCTGAAGTGAATGTAAAACACTCAGCATGATAATAATAATAATTATTATTTTAATTAAAAGACCTTTTTTAAATTATTATACCTATTTTAAATAGCTTTTTAAAAAATTACGTAAAATAATAATATTATAAATTAGAAATTTGTGAAAATAAAAATAATTAAATTAATTTATCTAGAAACATGGAAAAATCAAAAATGCCAACTTCTATTGGGTAAATCTGGAGTAATGACAAAAGTAAGTTGAAATATCTAACTTGGCTCGAAAACACTCGTTCAGCGAGTATTGACGTTGCTCGTTTGAGTAGTGGATAAACGAGAATTGTGGATAAAGTGAGGAGTTTACCTCTTATGTCGACTTTCCTCAAAGAAACGGCAAGATAGCATCGATTGGTCGACCAACAGATAAACAAGCACGAGATACATTATTAGATTTAATATTGAAATAGAAGTTTCTTGAAACCGATGAAATATATGATACAAAGTCAACGGTTACAATTTTTCCTTTCAATATCATTTTCGATACAATTTTATGTATATTTCTTGATAAAAGACAATCAATTTCCAACTAACACATATTAAATATAAAAGACTATAATACAAGATATTAGTAATAGAAAAATAATATAACATAATAATAGATATATACTAAAATATGTAAAGTTTGCTAATATATTTTTGTATTTCTTTTCAGAACCGGGAATTACAATTTAGCATATTTTGCATTTTCTCTAAATAAAATCACACAGAAGATGCGAAATTAATTCCAGATTAGCATGAATCTTCTGGCAAACCCGATCCTTTTCGTCAAAGGAGCTCTCACGATTCCTCCTGCGAGCTCAACGAGCGACACTGCGGAAACGGAAACCAGAAACCGGGAAACCCGAGGCACATCGTGCTGCGCGAACGAGCTCGATTTAAATATTAAAAGGAGGAGGATGGACCGTGCTATCTACATAGATGGCCACCAAGAGGACTGGCGATAGGTCGGACAAGGGACGGTAGAAAGGACGAAGAGAGCACCGGCAACGAGGACGATTTATATTCGCGGTATCGCTCCGTTCGTTAACGAGCACCATATCGCAACGCCGCCGCGCCGGGTGCATTATTAACAAAGCATGAAAATTTAGACGCGCGATTTACAAGCCCGACCTAAAACACGTTTGTGCAGCGAACAAGAATTCATACGCGGCACGGCGATACATATTCTCATCGATTTTACTGCGGATTTAGCATATTATTCCTGCGTGAGTCATTTGAGTGAAATCTTCATGAAAATACAAAACTACTTTAATGATGTGTTACAATATACATATAAATGAAAAATGCTCGAATCAATCGTGCGAGATGAAATTAACATTTGTATACACGCTGTTAAATTTATTCAATTCAAATGTCAAATTATACCCAATTTAAATTATTTTTATAATCATTTCTATAGATTTTGTTTCTATTGAATATATCATTTTTAACTAAAACAATGGAGTTACACAATTCAAAAGAAAATGTATTAATTATATTTGACTAAAGTTTATTATTTACTAAGCGCACACATATATTAATATTTACTTTAAACTATAACTACAGAAATGGATTGATTTACAGTTTGACATATACAGAAGTTAAAAATGATAAAATGCGTTATTTAATTGAAGAGATTGAATACTATTACTCCTTTAATATTTAATAGTGTATGTACAATAATATTGAAGAAAAACAGTCTTTCTCTTTTGTATATTTAATTTTTATACTTTTTTAACTTAAGTGTATTTTATTCTGTATTACATTCACGTAGCATACAAATATTTCAAAGAGTTAAGTCCAACAATATTAAAATAATTCCGTGTAAAAATGTTAAAACTTTATGATATCATTCTCTCTTTCACTTTGTGCGATTTTATTTCCTCGTGCGCTGGCGGAAGACAAAAACCCTATGAAACTCTACAACCGCCGGAAAATTACCTCACATTAATATCGTGGATTATGTGGCAAACGACGGTTCGAACTGCCGTCATTTGATAAAAACTTCTAATGAACGGGACGATATCGCTGGAAGCAATTAATAATTGCCATCGCCCGAGAAGATCGCTCATTTCTCACGTATAAGCCCGGAATCTTAGAGTTATAGACTTCAATTAACGCTCTCAATACCGAATCTTCATTTACCAGAAGAATTCTACTTCACAAACTGTTTCTCAACTGACACATGAAATATTAGCTTAGGAAAAGAGAGAGAGAGAGAGAGAGAGAGAGAGATAGATAGAGAGAGAGAGAGAGAGATCTTTATAAACGTACATAAAAAAAAAAATTTTTAATATTTAGGTAGATGCAGATCTGCAAATAATTTTTTGTTTAACCATCAAAATATTTATGTAGAAAACTTAAGCAAAAATTTTAACACTCTAGCAATCAACTTGAGTGCCCTATGTAATTTATTTTGACTCAACAAAAATACTTTCAGATATACATTTAACTAAATTTTAGATGCTTCCGTTCTTTCTGTATACAATTTTCTTATCAGACAATTAGAGATATTATCACCCACTTAGAAAGCCGCAAACAGATTAATGTAATGCATTAAACTGTTTTTATTCAACACGCTAATCTCCAAATTTTTCAAACTCGCACCACGAATTCGCTCCACGAGGCTACCTTTTTAATCCCGTCTTTTACGTCGTGGCTCACGTGCTCTATTTAGGCTGAATTATTAGCCGCAATCGTTACCGCGTTTCAGGGTGCTCGCTGCCACCCGCGTTTACGATCAATAAAACGTGAAAGACGGTGTTTCGAATCCGGTCGAGTAGAGAGACCAACCCGAGAATAAATGTGACGAACGACCTCGCCGGTCCGAAAACACACTCCAAATGGATACACCAGCCGACCCTTTTATGAAGGGTAGTATTGGCGCGCGAGTGATTCGTTTCAGTTCTTGGTACAATGTGCTGAACGCGCGTACAACTCGTAACAAAGATCTCTACGAAAAAAATCAACTTCACGGACGATCGGCATCAATATTCATCTCGCGGTGTGCAGAGACAAATTCTCAACAAAGAGGGTTTTTATGATCCTGACGTTTTTTCTGATCCCCTTTGCACTTCGATGTCACGCCGATAGCTGGTATTATACCTTCAGTAAATTGAAAGGCGGGTTTCGTGCGTCCCCGCGCAGTTTTATTAAACGCTCGTATCCGGAAATTGATCCGCATATAAGATTCATCTTGATGTCACTACGTGTAGTATGTATTATTACGGGACGGAAATTGTAGCGATGAAATTTGAAACAAAGCTAAACGACAACGACAAAATTGTATTTAAGTACACGGTTATTCCTGTATATCGTAATTTAGAAATAATAGCAGACAAATATTTAATACAATAATATCACAAAGTTTAACACAAATTTTACTCAAATTAAGTTAATAAAGTAATAACTATTAAATCAGGAAGATCAAAAGAATATTTTCAGTCTCTAAAGCATTCTGGCAACCAATTTTACACATGTGCGAATATGTAACTAAGGATTTAAAAAATAGCCGAAAAGGGAACTACTGTAGAATTTTAACGAATGTATTTCACAGGTAAACTTACATCTCTTTTCCCTCGGGTTACACTGTCACGTTTAGTTCAACATACACAACGAATCTTTTAGAGTTTCCTGCCACGTTCGTACAACTCATCCTTTTTTTTTTACTATTTTTACGTTACGAGTAACTTTCTTTTGCCCGAGCGTGAGGAAACCTCGTCTTAACTTTTCGAAAGCGCAAAACGAATGAACAGTTCCTCAGTCCAATAAAATTAGTATCACTACATTTGTAATAACATTTGGTATTAAATGGTGTTAATTTCAAATAAGAATGAGTGGAGAACTGAAAACACCCTAATTGAGAAGTTTAATATAAAGCCAATAATTGTTTATAATATTAATTATAGAAGTCTTTATTCAAAAGAGAGATACAGTTATTTATCTTTAAATTACAATAATTAACACTCATATATTATCAATATAAACTGTAATTTTCAACAAAAAACAAATTTCCGTTCAGAATTATTTGCTACAAGCAGACATCGAATGGGTTTTGTCCTTTGTTTAAAGTTATAATTTATATTAACTATGAATGTGTTAATTATACTGTAGTTTAGAGCCGAATAATTGTTGAATAAAGACTTCTACAATTAATAAGTAATTGTCAGCTTCATTTAACATTATTTCCTTAGTTATTCGCAATCACTACATTTTTCTTTACATCAAAAACATCGGAAACATAATGGTATTTATTTTAAACAACATGTGTCTTTTATATTGCATGTTATATCGTGGCACGAATTGAGAATGAATCGGATTATCGCTCGATGCGAGAAATGAAGGGATATCACTATTCTTACAATATACTACAATAGTATTGTTCGCATTTAGTTCCCGTGTTCCAAATTTCTCCACTCCTCTAATGATCAGTAAATATTTTTTTTAAATCAATTAAGAAAAAATAAAACCTATTTTCAACCAAATAGATTCTAGTGCTTAAATATTTCAGAGTATACACAGTCAATTTTTTTAAATATTGCAATTTTTTAGGATATGTATATCTAATATATGAAAACATTGAAAACACACTGAAATATTTAAGCTAAGATCCGCTTTGACCGATAATACGATTTCTCTTACTTAATTGGATTATTCTCATCCGTCCAATTTAAAATTATAATTATTGCAATTTCTCTTTTTCATTTAAATTCCTTCAAAAGCAGAGAATAAATTCTTATCCGTTTAGATAATCTGTTTTCTCACTTAGCTTTTAAAAGAAACTGTATTAAAAAGAGAAAAGCTGTGAAATGCTCGGAAAAAATATTTACTATCGAAAGAAAATCTACACGCGTTGCTTTCGAGATCCCTATGGGAGAAATAACAGACGTCAAATATTATTTAATGCCAGCGAGAGTCTTTCCTTCTCGGTGTCATCTCGTTCGCGCCGGATCGAAGGACAATTGTACGGAAGACATCGTGAGAACGTCAAAGTGTCCCATTGTTGGATAAAGTCGTATCGTCGCGGGACGATACGGTCGAAGAAAAGCGCGGCAAAGAAACACCGGAACCGGACGTCGCCTCGGCAAAGAAACGAGAACGACGGAGAGTCCCGACGAGTGAAGTGCCATCGAAGAATTCGTGGGCGATCTCAAGAAAGCCTCGAGATCCGAGCCTAGCGTTCAATAGCCATCTCTCCCGACACTGGGAGTACAATTTCTTCAGGATATACGAGAGTATATCTGAGAGTGTTTACTCACCCTGAACTCCCCGGCGCAGCCATCGTCCAGCTCCAAGAGATATCCCTCGATGGCGGGGCCTCTCTGTCCAGCGCAGCCCATAATTCCGTGGCCGGGAGGCGGCTGCCAGGCAACGGTGACGCTGTTGTTCTCGGCGCTGCACTCTTCGGGGATCAGTAAAGGAGCTCCGGGTGCTGGAAATGCGTACGTCGAGACGGTTTAACAGCGCTCCGCGTTATTGCAATCGCCAGCGTTGCGTAGAAACGCGGCAGTAAAGTAATGAGCTAGATTTAATGTCTTTCAGGTGTGTGCGATTTCAAGCTCGAGAGAGTTTGAAGTCAATTCTAACTACGATAATTGCAGTAACGTTAGTTTGAGATATTAGTTATATTAAATGTATGAACTCTCTAAATTCTCTTTGTGGAATGAAATCACATTCTATATAGTGAAAATTGAGTAAATCTTGAAAAAGAGTAGGTCAATTTTCAATTTTTAAAAGTGCGATTTTACTTTTTATACACAGTGAGATAAAAGTTTTAAGGAGAAAATAAACGAAAATTTCAATTCTTCTCTCTCGATTAACTTGAAATAAAATCCTTCGTTTGTTAATGCAATGAACTTCGTTCGCGTGATGGAAAAGTAGATAGGGTTGCTTTGAAGTTGTCTCGTAAAAATAAAGTTATAAGCAGACTATAAATCAATGTTGTACTTGCTTAAGGACGGAAGCTTCCAATACTAAAATTTTCTACTTCGGTAAAACTTTGTACACACTTAAGAAGTTTCTCGAGTAAGTAACTAAACATTTCGTATTTTCGTAACGAAAGGATTGAGGTAAAGGCATTTAACTTTGGAGATTTTGAGCCAACGAAGTTTGCTTGTAAATCATTTTACAGGCGAATGAGTTTACAAATAAGTAAAAAATTGTAAATGCAAATATAGATTAAAATGTAATCAATAAAAAAAAGAAAAATCCCTGATAAAAATATACACGTGCGTGTTTAAATAAGTACATGTATATCTTTGTACAAGTAATAAACTTATATACATACTTCCTATATTTTTTAAAATAAACTCTCACTCTAAAAGACTAAAAATTAAATTTGTCTTGATAAAAAAGGGTGAAAATATTTTCATTTTCAAACAAAAGTAGCAGATTTTCACTTTTTAGGAGTGAGATTTCTTTCTATTGGAGTAAGATTTCCCTTTTTCGGAGTGAAAATCACTCTAAGACTTTTATTCCAAAAAAAGAAGTAAAATTTTATTCCTTTGGAATGGATCTTACTCCAAAATAGTAAATTCTTACTCCAAAAGAGTAAAAATCTGCCACTATTGTTCAAGAATAAAAAGTTTTCATTCTTTTTTTTAAGACTGGCTCAATTTTTATTCCAACAGATTTAAAGAGTACATATAAAATCATAAATTAAAAATACTGTGGAGAAAATAGAACAAATTCACAGATAGACAATTTCATTTGACAGTTTTAATTACCGCTAGCCGACTTCAATACGATATGATTTGAAACCGCGCTGGGTATTTGGCTCCAATCCGATTTGCCTCGAAGCCGGCTTGCCGGTGATGACCTTCGGTGGCAATAATTTCACGATTTAAACAGGCTTCGGACTGCCGAATTTGTTGCGAGTTTCCTAACGACGGATGGAACTTGGTCGTTGCCGCAACAACCGCAATTGTATTCGATTCTGACTGTCTAAGGTACAAGTTAAAGCCGCGGAAATTACTGTGCGCTATCCAGATTTCTGTTCCGCAGAAATGTACTGAGCTGTCAATACAGAGCGTCGTATCTCAATTTGCCAAACCGATCGGAATACGTATAACTCCTTCGACAAAATGCTAAAACCAAACTGTTGGAACCTAAAATAAAATTAACAATCAATATTGATTTCTTTTGAAGCTGCAATACTGTGTGTAAAAGAAGTAATCATTTAACTCCAATTTTGGCTCTTTTTTGACACAAGCAACAAAATTTCACTTTTAAATTTCTCCGAAATAAAAAAGATTCAGTTTCTTTATTGCTAATTAAGTTATACATTTTTAAACGAATTTTGATTTTTCCCCATTTTTGTTAAAATTTAAATTTTTATTAAATAAACATTTTGGGCAATACAAATATAGGAAATAAAGTTGATAAACAATCAAGCTGGATTTTTAGAGCTTAAATAATTCGGTGTGAATTTATATACTATACATACATATCCGATTCTGCAAACAGCGCGTCGAATTTAATTTTCAGTCTTAAAAACGCAATTCTAACAGAACTAGAGTAGTAATATTACAAATTAAATTAACAAGCAATATAATACTAATATTGTAGGGGCCAAGGAAAAAATTAACGGAATCTATTGAGATTTAAAATTCGAGATCTCAATCTTAATATTCAGAGTGCTGTGCCAATGACGCTCCACTGTTATCATACTTATTCTGATCGTCCATACTTTTAAAATCTTTCAAATCTCTTCATTTTCCTACAATATTGATGTTTATAAGCACCTCAAAAAGATTTTAATAATTTGATAATCTGATATTAATAAACATTTGTGTTAAAACACTTGATAATGTAATATAGAGATGTTGAAAAGTAATACTGAACTTTTCTATTTTTTGAAAGCATAGAACAATAAACAAAAACTTCGGCCGAACAAAAAAGGACTGGATTGGCCGTAAGGGATTAAAAAGAAAAAAGGAATGTTTCAAATGTCCAGACACTTTCGTTTAAAATGAGACATTACATTAAAATGCTAACTCGCATAGGTATGTACATATGTTTCTTCTCTTACGGGAAATTACATTAATCTATTTGATGAATGTAGATAATCCGCGCTCGTTGCTTTCATCGTAAAAGAGCGATCATTCAGAGCGATACTGATCACTTTGGACCAAGCGTTCATTACGGATCACGTAAATGTTAGGAATAGTCCGCTTTCAAGAGCGTTAACACGCGCTGTAGGCGGTCGTTGATGCTTCTACATGCAATTATCTGGCTTTCAGTGGAAGCTCGCCGCGTCGCGACGCGAGTCGTCGGTTAACTTGTTGGCATGCTAATAAACCAAAAGCATTTCCTCTCGGTGCGCGCTGCCCACTGGCGACGTGCGGTTTCGCGCAAACTTATCTCTCGAAAACGTTGTCGACTCGACACGGTGACCGTCGACTTCCTGTCCGTTTCAGTCGTCGATTCCCGGATACGTCGACGGCATAATCCGATCGGACGGACGCCACCGCGACCGAGGAGTAAACACGTGTCAAAAAGGCGAAAGACGGAAAAGGCCAAGGCTTGGCAAATACGTCACGATGTGCAGTCAGATAAAAAGAGATGTGTCCCGAAAGTTTACCGTACTGTTTTTGCCATGTCGGTAGATACCGTTGAATCATAAAAACCGCGATTAAGCTTTTTGACAAAATTGTTTTATACATGGCGTCTCATTTCTATCGCATTACTTTTTTTTTTAGCGACAATACATGCGTTTGGCTAGCAAAACAGGTCGGTGAGCGCTTAAGTCTAAAATACATTTCAAAAATGTAAGACATAAGCGATAAACGAATCGACTAATCACGGTAAAAACTACTTTATATATTCTTTACTATAATTAGCCAATTTGCTTATCTGTCTCTTATATACTTAAGTCTCATTGCCTTACATTTTTGAATGTGTTTTTAGCTTTAGTAATATTTTTATTTTCATACTTCGTTGAATGTAACCAACTTTTTGATCAATTCAAGATCGATTTTTACTTTGCACTCTTTGCAGTACATTTACAATTAATCTACAATAGAAATCATATTGCTCGATTTCGATTATAAATCAGATTATAAATCAGAAAGAAATTTGCTTTCTATAATAAATAAAAAGATAAACGAGTCGGTGATCGAGTGATTGGAATCGTGATAACAACGTATAGAAATATATTTTTGCAGGACGAAAAGAGGAACTTCAATGGCGTCCCATACATTCATACAGATGAAAAAGTATTCTCTTCCATAATTTTCTAGAATAAAAGCCGTGGAAGCTACGATTCCGCACAAAACTAATCACCTTTCCGATTTCGGACGAAATTGACTCGTGAATTCAATGATGTACGAAACATAATACGTTTTTTTCAATATATATGATGTGGGAAAAATCGCATTTTTCTGTACAAAAGATATAATCTTTTATATAGAAAAATATCATTTCACGCATGGGATTAAAAAATGCAATATTTATCATATAGGCAACTACAAAGATTTAAACAAACGTACTGCGATACATAAAGAGAAACAAAAAATGATCCATGATGCGTCAACATGAGATTCAATTTTATTTCAAAATATTGAATATTTTTGTTATATCGCGCCGCGAAAAGACTATAATAGTAAAAGAATTAAACTGCACATTGTGTTGTAAAATTATATAGCTTAAGTTCAGATTTGAAAAATTTCTAATAGTTGACGGGAGTGAGTTTTGAGAGAGAGAGAGGTGTTTAACAAAATTTATTAACTCTATTTTACATGTATAAACAGACGCAGAACACTAAGAATAATGTTTCGCCTACTTGCAACGTCAGGACTTAACATGTGTATGTATAATTAACTGGCTTCATGCCTGACAGCGAATCGTCATGCGGAGTTCAGCATATCCTTGGAGAGAGCCGTTCCGCTCTACAGTACGAGAGCTCTAAGGTCTCTGCGGCATTCGCATTATGAAATTAGGCTAATGGCACCAATGTTACATAACTATGTTTAGCGTCAAACCGCCAGAGCTTTAATGCAAATTAAGATCGTCTTGAGAAACATTTATCATTCTGTATTTTCATTTCCAATTAAATGGCAAGCAAAAAGGAAACGTTACTTTTCATTTGAACACGTCGAACAAGTAGGACATTACAAATAACGATGCTCGTTTATTTAACTTGGGAATAATCATTCTTTTTATGTAAATAGTTACACTTGGAATATTTTATACTTCAGTTATAAAATCATTATTATTATACATACTGTATAATAATAATGATAATAATAAAGATATTATATGTACATATAGCTGTTCCCGGCTTAAATATCTTGCTATATCGAGAGTTTAGTAAAGCTAATAGCTTTCTTAATTAAAATGCAAAATATTTGCAGATAAAAAATTATTAAAATTATGATATAAGAATTCGAAGTGTTATTTTCGGGACGGTGTGAAGTGAGATCGCATAATTTA